GATGGCGGAAAATAGACAGACAGATGGACAGCAAGACAGTCAGTGAGAGATAAGGAGGTGAGTGTTGTATCGTATATACCTCCCTAACACACAGACACACAGTGAGTGAGTGAGTGAGTCAGTCAGTCAGTATGACGTACAGTAAATAGTGAGTCAATGCTCCCCTCACTCATACTCACACACTGTACACGCATCACTATCCCCATTCCGCGTAATTATGGGGGTTCTCACTGTCTAGATGTTATATGATGTTCGCCTCTCATTTAATAGTCCCGGGTTCGAAACCTGACAGTGCCGGAACATTATTTCTTCTCTCAAATTTACTCCTTTTACCTCCTTTCCTGCTCTAACCGTAATGTTCTGTCGTCTGCTTTCGTCTCCACTTTGTGCCCTCCCCCGCCCCCTTTCCTCCCTCTTATGGGCTACTGAATCTCTTTGTAGTCTTTCTACTGCTACTCTTTGGGTCCTTCTCACTGCTGCCTATCAGTCACACCCCTGATATTAGGGTAGACGAGATCTTAAACCTAGCTTTGTTGGATAAAGGCCAAAAATCTCGACTGACAAGCATCAGTGAGAAGGACCCAAGGAGTTTGAAAAAGGAGGGTGGAGGGGTGGAGGAGGTTTTTTTGTTGCAGTTTTGTTTATTTGTTTTTGGTTAGCTTTTGTTTGTTGCTGATTGTGCGGAAGTGTAAGTTATACGGTGTATTATGTAAGTAAGATGATGTAGACTGAGTGCCATGGTAAAACAAACACTGGTCGCCACCACCTGGAGAACGAGCGACGCGTCTGTCAGAAGTTCACTTTAACATCCATTGTTACTTTGCTACAGATTACGTAAATAAAACAGTGACCAGGCACCTCACATTACAATTTGGGCAGGAGTTGTGGGCGGGCTTATAGGTTATGACGAATCACACGCCGCTTCCCTCAAAGCGCTTGGAAATTTATTGCTATAACCCATAGGTCAAATTTTGGGTAAACATTCATTGGAGGGACAACAGTAACGACAGGAGAATGGATTATGACGGCCCGTCCACAGCACCAGGGGCCGATTAAAAAGGTAGATAAAATAAGGTGGTCGTGGTCGCGTTGGACAGGTGACGGTTTTACACAGTTGAATTATAAAGAAAAAACGCAAGGGATGAATGGAAAGTGGCCGTGGGGGGTTGGCGGGTGCTCTGGTGTGGTTTGCTTCTTCTTTCCTATCAAACATCTATCGTCCTTATCTCCCCTTCTTCTTTTTTAAGAAAAAGTTTGTTACTTTCTTGTAACACCTCTAATCATCTGCGCTTATATGAACTTATGCATTTGCGAGCGCCGTAAAACCTCTACTAAAAAGAAAGGAAGGAAAGTGGCCGTCTGTACAGGTGGCCATGTTATACAGGTGGCCGTCATGGCTGGTTCGACTGTACTACAGTATTGAGCCGAATCGCTCGCCGCAAAGGCTGGTGTGGCGCCGGCCGGGACAACGCTAGGTGTTTTTTAAAATTGAAATAACGACAGATCGTCGTGTTTGAGGCAATAAAATAATGATATATAATGCTCTCACAGTCTTGAAAGAAATTGGGCTTCATTTCTTTGTTTCATTGATTGTACTTTGGTAATGTTGAGATGTTTGGTGTACTTAGTAGGCCTACTATTTTATCATCTGTCAAACTCGAGGTTGCAACCAGCGACTTCAGCAATATTTGATTATTATGATAAATTGAATCAACTGCCATTGTCTTAAAAATTAACTGAGATATAAATTTATGGTTCCAAAATTGTCAGGAGACATTGAACCTAGGACTTTCATATGAAACAGATGAATTTGACATACAGCTACTTTGAAAATTTAGTATCTGGTATCTAGTAGGCACTATAATACTAACATAATATACATTTTGTTGCATTTGACGTGAAGTCCATTACTCGTGATTTTTTTAAAATTCCTCTCTCATCTTGTCGCTTTAGAACAGTAATAGTACTATGGCCGATGACTCGGGCAAGCGAGAGTAATCCATTAAGTGATATAAAAAGGGAAAGAAAAGTGTTAAAACAGCCTGTGCTGAATAATTAATTGTGTGGAGGAAAAGATTCTGAGTTCCACATTTTAAACGTCGAAAGCTTTTCCCAACGACTTGTCATGTGACTTCTGTCGCCAATGCAAACAACATGGCGGCGACAGCAGCTCAGGGAGAGCGCCGAGAACCATACATTGGGGAAAAGAGGCGATTTATGAGAGATGGTACGTTTATTTAGTGTATTTTTTGCAACTATATATTCACTTTTATTTGCTGTCTATTGCAATAGTTAATATTCCTCTGTGGCAGAAATGGGGAGGAGTTTCGTATCGAGCAACCACTATCGATGTGGTTAGGGTTTGGGTTAGGGTTTGGGGTAAGAGTAGTGTTAGGGGTTGGGTCAGGGTTAGGGTTAGGTCTCTTTTATATTGTTTTTGTTGGGGTGGTTGCTCGTTACAGAAGCCCCCTCCTCCATATTCCCAGAAATGAATGCTAAAATATACGAAATCGTGCTCAGCCATAGTTAACTTATGAAACTTAAAAATTCCCAACAGCCTATATTATTGTGTGTGTGCCTGGTGAAATGATGCATTTTGAAGAATCACACTTTTTCATGTAAAGAGAACATTTCGGAACAATATTATGCTTTTTGAATTTTTAAGATATCTTCTCTGTAGTTTTTGAGATACGGGTGATTTTGTAAGGCAGGGTACGAAAACAAAGTTTTGAGAAAAACCCCTTTTAAGTTTCCCCTTTTTGTTTGTGCTCAAATAGATAGATCTTTATGAGACGCTGACATATCACTTTCGCTACTCACAAAACCAACTTTAAAAAGCAGCTAAGATGAATTAAAGAGCTTCAAAATTTTTGTATTACATCTTCAAAACAAATTTGTCACCACCTTGAACAAGAAATTTCAAGAAATTCGATCTAGGTTTGCACGGGGAAAAAAATATGCAATACCCCAAAAAAATGAAAGGGTGTGGATGCGTAAAGCTTCGCTTTGTTTAATCATCTAGATTTTCATGCGCGCTACTCGTCATTACAGAGGGGAGAGAATGACCTAAATTTTGGTATGCAATGTGATTGGGTGACTATATGAATGGACCGGAGAAACCATCCGCAGTGTGTATTCAGAAAACCAATTTACTCACACATTATTCATTATGGGATTATGCAATATACCTCGTGTAATAAAACATCCTTAAAAATGTATTTTAAAGTAAATTAAACCCAAGTCCTTATTGTAAATATAGATGAATTAAGATCATTTTTAATGGAACTTAGTTTTTTGAAGCCTGATAGCTCGGTTCGAACAAATGCGTAATTTGGTACCTTTCACTAGGCACACTTTAACTGAAGTCAGGAATCTTTATGTTTTGCAGAAAGATACATTTTTTCAAACTTGTAATTCACTGTACTATTTTTGTCAGTTTTAATGAATATAAGCATTTAAAAATAGAAAAAAAGAATCTCACGAGCTTCCTAACGGTGTACTCCTAAAACAATATTACGAGCCTGATATGAGAATTGTAGAGATGGATTTTTTTTAGGCTAGATGGATGAGGCTTGATATCTAACTCTCTCAACAACAAAATAATGCTATTGCTGTTTTGAAGTAGGTCTGTTGTAGACATCTGAGATCTAAAAAGAAATGTTGGGACACTGTTTTTACAGTGATAATTCCTACTTAAAAGCTACGTAAGTACAAATTTTATTGTGTGGAATTTCCCCCGAAATTTCTAATCTACGAAGCTGACTCAGTTATTTTAATTGCACACAATAATGGCGTTATAAAGGTCTCTGCTGTTCACTCAGGGTAGGCCAGTCACCAGCCCATTGATCGATCACCCGCCTTTTACTTTTACACTGTGAATGAAGAGATTAAAACAAGAACTTCTTCAAGTGTCTTTTCCTGAACTGTTTAAAGCTTCTCTTTTATCTTGGGTGATTCAAGCGGGTGCTCAGGGTTTGCTCCTTATATAATAATAATAATAATAAATAGCATTTGTATAGCGCATATCCCCACTAGAAAGCAAGCTCTATGCGCTTTACACTATTATATATTATTACTCCAGCAGACCATAGAACACTCAGAAACATTCTCAGCTTCCCTGGAAGCATACAGTGCAAGTAGCGGTTAAGCATCTACATCTTCATCTGGCCTCCTTTTTCTCTGTGTGATATTCTCTAGTAACACCGTACCTATTTAATCTTCAGCACATATTATGTGACCTATTTGTGTTGCAAGTGCCATATATATATATATATATATATGTATATATATATATATATATATATATATATACATTTTTCTAAAACTAAACTAAACTCGTAAAAAATATCTAAAAAGTTATAAAATGAATTTGGTTAACCAAATTTCACATTTGTATAGTAGGGAAAAATTTTTTATTGCAGCGTGCTGGTCAGTGATTGGTTAATTCTTAAGACAGGGTTATAAGAATGACAGCTCCAAAATTGTGTCAGGGGCTGATGAATAATTTATAGCATAACAACGCATAGGATGATAATAGATTTGTATGGCCGTCTTAGACAGGAATTTTGGGCTGTTGGTCCATACAGTAGTGGTTGCAGCCATGTTGGACAGGTCATCATTTTTGTCAGTGCTATTATTTAGAAAAAAAACCCACCAAGGGAGGAAGTTGAAAGTGGCCAGTTGTATAGGTCTTTGCAGTGGCGGTGGGTGAACCTAGATTTGGGTGGGGCTTAGGTTTCTTCCACTTCTTTACGACCAAAAAGCAAGCAATAAGAACAACACAGTGATGATTTTTCTATACTCATGGCGAGTCACTGCATTTTGAGAACCATTCAAACGAGAAGAGTCACCTTTGTCTGCCATCTCTTTTTTTCTACGTTAAATTCTTCTGGATGGTGGGGACGAAGCCGTTTCACCTCCAAATTTCTCTAATTGGTTTTTATTTGATTATTGTTACATGTCAGCGGCACAAACACACAGCACTCCAAACACATACCGTCTATGAGGTGGATTGGGTCGTGTTGTTGCAGAAAATAGAACGCGCCTAACAAAGGCCCAATGGGCGCATAGGTAACTGTGTCACTGGGGGAAAGTGTGTCGTAAACTTTCACCCCATTGTCAGGGCTGGGAGAGCGTGAGCCCTCTGTGCAGTGTTATTTTTTTCATGTCTTCTACCTTTTTACAAGAGGGGTTTCATTAAGGAGAGACCGTGGGAACGGGCTGGTTGATTGCTGAGCCCTAAAGACATTTGATTGGCTGTTAGGTTACTATAGTTGTAAGCGGGGACAACAGTGATTGGATAAACGAGCAAGCCGCCTAGTATATCACTCTGTGTTCATTGCGGTCGATCAGAACAGTTTCAACTGCTTATTTCGTTATTTTCATTTGCCTTGGGATAGACTTGGGGGGTGGGAAGGGGGGCTCAAGCCCATGAGCCCTTCACTACCCACCGCCACTGGGTCTTTGTCTTATACAGGTGGCCTCTCACCAGATTTGACTGTATTTGTGTAATATATAAGCGTATTATTTTATCCCCTATAATGTGGGAATTGCATGTTTATGTTTGCCACCTGCCCAACTGTATGACAAGTCAGAAATTTTTAGATCACTCTCTTATCCAGCGACATTAATGTAATATATAGGCCTAGCTAGCCTTTTCCCCAATACGCATTTTTTTTAAAAAAGGCATTAACTAAATGACAAATTTCTTTGACTTCTGTGTTTGTCAAAATACTCAAAGGAATTTTTTCCTCTTCTCTCTTCCAGGATATGGGACTTATGTGTATGAAAACGCTTTTTTTCGCTATGAAGGCGAATGGATGAAAGGCAAGAAGCATGGTAAGTATTGAAAACTATTTTCTTTTAAAATAATTAATTGTACTTATATTGTTTTGTTTTGGGATTTTTCCTCACTTTGGGGGGGTTAAAACAGAGGCCGAAAAGGATTTAATGATTTGCAAGTTTTAAAAATTTTTGTTATGTATGTGTGTATGTTGGTGTAAGTGTATGTGTGTATGCCTGTGTGTGTGTGTGTGTGTGTGTGTGTGTGTGTGTGTGTGTGTGTGTGTGTGTGTGTGTGTGTAAGTGTGTGTGTGTGTGTGTGTGTATGTGTGTGTGAAATGATAATCTTGTTGGCACTCAATGCTCCAGGTCATGGCAAGCTGCTGATGAAGGATGGAACATATTATGAAGGACAGTTTGTAAATGGAGAAATCAATGGCCATGGTTACAAGTTCTTCGCCTCATCTGAAGCTAAATACACTGGGCAGTTTCTCAATGGTGAAATGCATGGACATGGGATTATGAACTACAAAAATGGGAATATCTATGAAGGCCAGTGGTACAAAAACAAAAAGCAAGGTATGTATGAATTCTTGCTTATGCCCTAAGTTGCTTTGCGTTACATTGAAGTCAGTCTCGTGATTAATTATCATCATCAATCTCTCACAAGAACTTAAAAATTTTTAATTATTGAATAGTTAGAGTGTTTCACTTGGGAACTTACATCTCTCTTTTGATCTATATATAATCTGTTATAAACTGATCTCTGCAGAAGTAATACTACCTTGAAGATTTCAGTGATTTGGCACATGTTCTTTTTTTTTTTTCCACCACTGGTCTAATTTTCTCCTAATGCTTAAAATCCTTCAAACTGTACAGGATTTGGAATTTTACGAACGGGTGAGAGGTCTGTCTATGAAGGAAGCTTCCAGAGTCACTGCCGAGAAGGTGAAGGCACCCAGACCTATGAGTGAGTTTTCTCAATTTTGGGGTATTTGTGGCTGGGTTTTTTTAGTTTGAGTGTGTGGCAGATGATACCTAGCTGTGCAAATGGATTTGAAAATAATCGTTATGTGAGAATCGTAAAAGTGTTTTTAAAAACGTTTTTATTGCTATCTACATCACTTTTTAAGATGATTAGTTTTACCCTTTTTTACAATGTCTTAGACTAGATTTTGTTTGCTCCCCATTATCTTTTCATTACAAGTTTAAAAGATTTATTTTCCCATGGGTATTCTCTGAGGTTCCCCCTTTTCTGTTTATGTGCTTACCTGCCTGTTTAAGTCTTTGTCTGATTTTTCAGTTCCTACCCCCTCTTTCTTTTTATTCTTTTATCCTCTATGTATTGCGATCCCTCTCTTTGAGACAGTCTTCCCATTACTCCTTTTTTTTTCTTTCTCTTTCTTATGATGTATTGTCCTAGTGTTTACATCCACCTCAGTCCGGCCGACTTCTTCACTTTACTTCTCCGTGTTTCTTTAATTTGTCTCTTTCTCTTCTCTTTCCTGCTCAGTCACTCTCCTTCTTACTCGTCTATCTGTCTGTCTGTCTATTTGTCTGTCTGTCTGTCTGTATGTCTGTCTGTCTGTCTGTATCTCTGTCTGTCTGTCTGTCTGTCTGTCTGTCATGGCAATGAGAGATGATTTGTGTGGCCAAATTGGACAGGCTAACTGTCTGTCTGTCTGTCTGTCTGCCTGCCTGCCTGCCTGTCTGTCTGTCTGCCATTCCCTTTTTTTTTTACTTGAAACTTTTTCTCCGAATTTCTTGTCTTTTACTTTGCTTTCTATGAGACACCACTGTTTTCATTTTCTTTGAAATTGTGTTTGCTCTTTGGCATTCCATTACCCTTCCTTGTCTACTGTATTTAAACGCTTTCCTTCACAGATGCTTCTTCTCTTGCTCTGTAATTTTGTTCTTCATGACCCCCCCCCCACCCACTCCTGCCCCCACTCTTTCCTTCCCATGTTGTTCCTCTTTCTTACCCTAAGTCTCCTTTCTGTTTCTTTTTTGACCACTTGTTGTCTGTTTTACTTCTTTTTAAACTTTGAATGATTATTGCTTCCCAAAAGCCAAATATATTATTTTCTTTTTGGGGGGCAAATTGTCTCAAGGCCATTGCTTCTATAAAGCATAGAATTCACTGTTAACACTTTTGATGAAATAGTGTGTGTGAAAGTGTGAATTTTGTGCTTTTCTAAGTTCACTTTTTTGTTTTGCTTGGTGTTCATAGTGAAAAGATATAACTAGAAAAAAAAAAAAGATCTGCACTGTTTTGTGTGTGACAAAATGACATCCAACTCTGTTGACAACCTGCTAGAGTTTCTGAGTTCAAGGCTGTGCTCTACCTGTACAGTTCTCTTTGTGATTTGTTGCTCAAGTTTACTCTAAAAGAAACACTTACCTTTTCAATAAATGGCAGATCAAGATAAAAAATTTAAATTTTGAAGTGATAACATTATGGGCTTCTGTCTTTCCTGGGGAAAGCTCATATGACTTCAACTCTCTTACTGGCCACTTCATTTCATTTTACAAGCATTTTAATTCCCCTGGAGACAAATAGCATTGCAGCCTGTAAGGTTCTTAAGCTCTGTCACATTAATAAAAGTTGACGCCATGAGGATATTAAAACTTATTTTTTTCTAGCTTATCTATTTACAGCAATGCTTTAAAAAAATGTTTCGTAATAATGCAATGCAAGCTGAAGCTGTCAAAATGTTAATTTCATATTTGCTGGTTAACTTGATTGGAACCTAATTAATTTCTCATTGAGTATATATATATATATATATATATATTGAATTTGAAAGTGGTATTGTTATATTGTTACATAATGTCCATGTTATTTTCTCGAAGCTTTCAAAGTTACATATTAATAGAATCTAATAAACTTAAAATGTCCAAAAACTTCTAAAACAAGGAACACAAAAAACAAAAAAATTAACTTGTTCATGTCTTTGTGGGATGAGGTGTTTTTTTGTTTCAGATTATATTTGTTTTGCAGTTGCTGTTATTGTTTCCTTTTGTTTGTATTGCTTGTGTTGTTGTTGTCGCTGGTGTTTATAAGATTAATGTTCTACTAGAAGTCTGTTTTTTAAATTAATAGAATAATAAAACTGTGTTTGTTGTTTCTTCCTAAGAAATTGAGTGAAACATACTGCTTTTGTGTAGAAAAGCAGTAATGTTGGGTAGAAAAGCAGTTAATATTTTGTCTTGTGATTTGAAAAACCTTATTTCCCAGGAATCCCTTTTCATGTATTATGTTTTTTTGTTAATATGTGGTTCATAGTCCTCGTATCCATCATCAGTCTATTTTGCACCATGTAAGGTGGCTGCAAATATTCTCTCAAAGTGTATTTACAATGTATAACCATGTTCATTTCTCCCTCGTCCAGCTCAACTTATAAAAATCTCAGGTATCACGTTAATTTGATATCCCTTATTTTACAAACCTTTGTGTTACTGTTGCCTGTTCTCTTTCCTTCTTTTTTCCTGTGCACTATGTAGGTGCTACCCTCATTCCTCTATCCTTGCTCTTTGCAAAAAATATTCATATATACAGCCTTTTGATAATGCAACCTCTTAAAATGAACCATATTGCATACTGAAAGGGACATAATTTTTTCATGCCAAAGAATGAAAAGTGTTAAGAAGTAAATGTACCCAGATTTGCTATAATTTACTAACTTTTAAATAACTTTACAGAGTTTGCAGTTTCAGCCCACTTTGATATCGTTATGCCCACAACCATTTCATGTTTGGAAATCACATTTGCATTCATTTCTGTCCTGTTTGTGTATACTTTCCTTACTATAGTATCTATTTCCTTTCCTTAGTTGAATCCATGACGGTATTTCAGGGTTTATTTTTCATCTTTTTCTCTTGTTCTTAAACACTTACTTGTTAGGATTGTTGGAAAAGATACAACTAAAAATTTGTTCTTATTCAGTTATCTCATCTCATGTTAATACATTTTTTGATTAAATAGAACCAACGTGGCTCTCGCTCTCTTCACTAACCAGAGCTAGACTTTTGTATTGTCTGCTTTCATGACACTGTCTCATGTTCAGTTTTTGTTTCTGCTTTACTAACCTGTGTATGGAATGCACTTAACGGTTTTTAATCTCATTATTGGTGCTAAAAGAAGTGCAGTTTTGCCTTTCATATATATATATATCTTTGTAGAACTGTGTCAAGATCTGGTACCTCATATCAAAAGAATCTGTGACGTTCTTCTTTGCTAATTACATATCGGGCAGGCTTCTCTACAGTGGTACACCCTGTGCTTTTGTAACAAACACTAGTCTTCTCGCAATTACTGCTATTATGATTGTTGAATCTCTTGGCTTTTTGCCTCATTGTATTTGCGTAGCCTGAGCTCTTGGAGTGAAAGGCTTCTTCTACTATGCCTTTAAACGCTACAAGAGTTAGAATATAACAGCTAGTGTCTATAGGATTTTGTTGGAGAATAAAAGGTTTTAAAAGCAACCAGAAACTAATAGTGCTTGCTTACAAGTCCCCCCTGGCCCTCCTTCCTCTCCCCACCCCCTCCCAAATGAAAAACAGAAACTGATCAAAGATATGAAAAGAAAGCTGCCATATTTTTTATTCAAAATGAACAAAAATCCTGAAATAAAATATAGGATTGTGTACAGTTAGATGAGAACATTTTCAAATTGCAGATTTTGTTTGCAGGTTTCCAAAGGCCACTTATCTGTGATGGCCTGACTTTGTCATTTGAGACAAGTTTTATTTGTCAAAATGTTTTTTTTCGATCTCTGTATTTGTTTTTCCAAATTTAAAAAAAAAAAGTTTAGAAACATTTCAAAGGTATCCATCTGCATGACATGGAGCTGACATATTAGAGAATTTTCTTGTAATTAGAAATAGAAATTGAAAACATTGCATGGATATTATATATAAGTTTTGTTTTGTATCCAGGAAAGTTTATAGGCAAAGGAATTCCTGACTCATGTTAGATCTTGCTCTCATTTAGCAGTGCTGATAAACATTCAAACTTGGTGATATAGCTTGTGGTACCAAGTCCAGCATTTTACAATAGACTTAGAAAAACATGATACGTATTATAGAAACACATATTTGTTTTTGTCTTTTGATTTTAGGGGCTGTTACTTTTCTTCCATATATGCTTTCATCTTCTATTCTACTGAAGGTTTGGATAAAATGTATTTTCATTATATTTAGCAGCATGGGCACCTGGAAGACATTGAGGATAGGTCCTGTGTCTCTCTAGCCTATTTTTTAATTTCTATTTTTAGCTTTTTCTTTGCCCCAAACATAAAAAAAATCATGTTGTCAATTTACTTTATTTTAGCATTTTAGCTCATTTGGGTGTCTTGGGTGCTTTTAATAATTCTTTTGTTCAGGGTTTCACTTATTTGGTAAATGTTACAAATTCTTTTTCTCTGGTCTACAGCAATGGCGACAGATTTGAAGGTTTCTGGGTGATGGACCAGCGGCATGGGCATGGAGAGCTGTGGTGTGCTGACGGCTCACACTACGTGGTGAGTGACCGATAAACTAGAGTTGATGTTTGACCTATCCTGCCGAGCTGGCAAACAAACATTGTTGTGGCATGGCTGTGCTCACTCTGGACAAGTATGGATGAGTTAAATGGGTTTTTTTCTTTGTCTTAATATCTTCACTTAGTTTTGAAAGTGAAAAGACAGGAAGGAAATGTGGGGCAGATAACACACATGGACTGCTTTATGTATGACTCAGCAATGCCATTTTGAAAAGTGTTGTATGACAGAGTCTGACACTTAGCAGTCGAGATGGTAAAAAGGTTTTCGACTTTATAACTTTCAGAATTGAACATTTGGACATCTGGCTTATCTCAACATACTCTTTCTCTTTGCTGTACAAAATATATAACCTTTCTTTCCAATAGCCATCTGGGTGGCCCGTATTATATGAGACTTCATGTAACTCAAGATTCCCTTTCTGATGAAATGTGTATATGTGGCCAATGGGACCAATTCTGGCAGAGAAAAGTTTGCCACATTCTGAGCATTTAAAAGCTCCACTTCCACTTGTGGATGTGCTCAGCACTTCTGGTGACTTTACATGCACTATTACTGGTCCCTCTCGAAATCCTCAATACTTGTTAAATTGTGTTAGGTACATATTTAGATTAAATTGATTTTACTACATGCTTCCTTGTAACCCCCCCCAAAAAAAAAAGCACATAAAAAGCTATTAGATAGTATCAATGGTGCAAAAGATTTATAAGGATATTTATTGTATATGCCACTGTTTTCTAGAAACTGATAACAAATTTATTCTTGAAAAAATGCCAAGCATGCAACATAATCTTTACTTTTTCTTTTACTTTACTTTTCATCCTGTGTTGCCTTTAATCATCGAGGGAAGATGCAGTTTTCCATGGGAGGCCGACTCTGAAGCTCTTTCAGTTGGGATGTTATGATTTCTCAATCCATCTTTTGTGTGGTCTACCTCTTCCTTTATAGCCTAAGTACTTGATGTTAAATGCTCTTGAGGTTCGCTGGAATTCATAACAGGAGGCCAAACCATAGTCAGACATAAAAATAATGATCCCCTACTAGCAATCATTCAGTTTTTAAGCTCTTTTCCATCTTTCAATGAGTTATGCTTCCAACACTAAATGAACTGTGGCTCATTTAAAATAACATTTTTCTGCTGAAGGGACTTTGACCACGTTAATTATTTTGTCAATTATTGTTGTGCAATGATGTATGAATCAAATGTTCATGTTTTTTTACAATATAAATTTTAACATTTCTGCATTTTAGGGTCAATTCTTAAGTGATCTTTTCAATGGTGAGGGAACCATGACCCATGCATCTGGCATTGTTTATCAAGGCATGTGGATTGATGGTTACCCAGTTACCATGGCAACAAAACTGGTCCTTATTGTGGAGGAGCAGCCACTCATCATACGGCAAGGTCTGCCGTTCTCTGTACGAGTTGAGTGTCGTAACGATAACGATGAGATCGTTCCAGGTGAGAATTCAATGTTTGAAAATAAGTGCAGTAGATAAATTTTGATTAGTTATAGTGATTGTAAATATTTTACGCCCCCATTGACATAATAATGTCACACCTTAAATTATAAGGAGGAGAACTGGTTTGAACCTGCATGTCATGGCCTTCTTGGGATGAGTGGGATACAGTATCCCAGCCAGCAAACTGACGTACATACTCAATAAAATAACCTTCCCACTCAGGAATTGAATTCAGATGGTCTGCCTACAACTGAGCAGAGCCTAGCCATTACACCACGGATGCTAGTAGATAAAAAAGGAGTCAAAATGATGATTCATTGTCTTGTATGGATCTGCCACTACGGAAGGCTCACATGACTTCACAATTAATCATTTTGTGGGGACCGTTCATTCCACACTCCACCTATTTGCATGTGGTTGGAGGGTGTCAATGGTAGGTTCTACTGTATTTCTTTTATTCTATTGTTTCTCTTTGTTTGTCTGCTCATCTCCAACACTCAGTTTATGTTGTGATTTGTGTTGCAACGAGGTGAAATCAGGTGCTCGTCAAAATGTTGAAATTGAAGAAATCACCGGGGTTTTTTCGCATGTTGGGCAGTTTCTCAGATATTTTTTTTTTAATATATTTTTTTTAATTAAAAAAAAAATTTTTTTTTGGGGGGGGGGACACCATATATAATAATATTTATAAACACATTTCTGTGGGGATTTTTCTGACAAAGTTGATCAAAGCCACAAAAAATGTAAAATTGCATTTTCCAAGACAATTCAAACTTTGGAAGTTAACACAATTTGGCGGCCATTTTCTCGCTAGTTTTACTTCTGACACCTGGCGACACCCATCTCTTTCAATAGCAAATATTTTGACTTAGCAGCCAAAGTTTGGTAAATCCAATAGCTAAAGAGTCCTTGAAAACTGAAAAAGGACATACTTAGTGCCTGTAATCGATGTTTTTCCGTGAACATCATATATAGAAATGTGTTTTTGTATGGAGGTAAAAGGTGTTGAGCAAAAGAAATACAAGCTTGATAAAAATGTCCAAACTTTTGGAAAAATGCCTGTTTTTCAATTTTGTTAATTTGAGGAGCGCCTGATTCAACCATGCTGCCTCACGTATCCATATTTTTTAAAAATCGATGTTTTGCTCTGAGTATCCATTTCTAGACATAAGTATATGTTTTTCCACTTTAAGATCTATGTTTCTGCCACTTCCTAGCTCCCTGTGTCTATTCTTTATTTCATGCAAAATCATCATGGAGTGTGATGTCAATGATATTTATTTGTGATTGTTCCCAGAACAAGGGCGAGAGATCCAGGTGATGGCAGGATTCAAGTACAGAACACCCAAGGAAGGATCAGCTCTCTTTGATGTCATAGAAGATGTGGAGGACAAACCGATTCCTACTCCATTGTAAGCTTTGTTACATTCTTGAAATGTTTAGATAAGAAACTTTAATTTTCTGTCAGAGGGAATTTGTGTTCGCTTTAAAAAAAGCATGAGAGAATCTAAAATAAGCCATTGAGTTTCTATTGAGCTTATTTATGAAATGAGTTTTTGTTGGAGATGGGTTAAATTAGCAATGTTTCGTATCTATTCTTTGTAATATAATCTATTATAATATAAGACCTGTATTTGCCAAATGTATATTATGTCACAGATCCTTGTTACACAGTGGATAAATTTCAAAATAGCTGACTAAAGTTTATCTTGAGCATGTTTGGCTGGGAAGAGTTTTGAACAATTTCTCTGTATGAAAAAGTAACTCTAGTCTCAAATTTCTTGAATTTTCTTCTTTTTTTTTGTGGTCAGATTATGATAATGTTTTACAAAAGCAAGTTACAAACTTTTATGTTTGTTTCATCACATGGCAGTTGTTAATATATAAATATATATTTCAACTTGAATAGCCTACTTTTATTGGTTGTTTGTATTACCTATCTGTATCACATGTTTATCATAAGTTCTTTGAACTATCATGTAAAGAAAGACTTGGATTTTAACTCTTGTCCTGAGTCTGTGCTGAGATGCGAATCTTATCAGCAACCGATTACATCGGATGTTCCGGGCAGGCTGCCGGGGTCACCCAGTGTATACTGTTGGTGTACAGTGCGCGCACCAGGAAACGTGTGTTTTGCCCATGAATACCATGGGAGTGTGTTAATCGATGAAGAAAATAACGCTCTATCTTTCATAGCTTTCTATTTATAAAGTGTTACAAACACATGAATAACCCCCTCTCATAAGCTGATAAGACATTACGAGTAGTTACGCCCATTTGAATAACCTCTTGTTGTTATGAATGACCTAGGATTTGAAAGGGGATATTATAGGTCAATTTCCGAATGTTTTGCTTTTAAATTGTTCTTTGTACCTGCACAATGGTATTCAAAATGATCAAACAAGGTTATTTTTTATTGGGTAGTATCATTTCATACAAAATCAAGCTCATTTGAAAGATGTTGTATAGAAAAATTGAAGTCTTGTTTTCTGACTATCCTTTCGAGCTCCCCATGTCTAAGTGGGTCAATTTGATCTATAATTTTATTGGACGAACATCTAGAGATACCAACTTGGCGTGTTTTGAATGAGACGTATGCCTCGGTCACGAAGCAACGCAGGCGGTTCTAGAAGAAGGCCACAAACGCTCACGAACTCAAGCAGACTGACGCACACACACTCTTGAGATGCGTGAATGCTGATCCGACGCGGGACCCGAATTGAACAAGAGATGATGCTCGGGGCACGTGCACTGAGCCAGGGGCCAGACTGACGCGGGATCAGAACGCAGGCGAGGTGCCAAAATAGGCTTATCAAGCGACATAAGCCCGGCCCCCGCAGGACGAGAGTTAAAATGCCTAAGTGTCTGTACCATTTCTGCTTTCAATTCATTGCCGTGGCAATAATTCGATTATAAAATTGCAGTAACGCCATTGTGTATTGTTATCTTCTCAAAATGAAAATATCTCAGTTACTTATATATCACACATAAAGGAAACTCTTGTGGGACTTTGCATCTATAAGAAATGTACTATTCATTGTAGTGACTGCATGACATTATATCCAGATAAAATACTACTACTGTCATATTACACTAATAATTTCAAGGCTTGATATGATACAGAACTCACTCTTGCTTGACTTTACAGTGGCTATGACGTGGTGCCGTATCCTCTCACTGACCAAGCTTTTGATGTAGAGGTAACCATGGATGCTGTAGACGCCAAGGCTGATGGCGATGGGAAACTAGAGGAGGATGGTGAGTTTGCAGTTTGCCTTGTAGATCTTTTTAGATCGTCTTGGATATGTAAAGTGATTTCCCTGCATGCTTCCTTGTAAAGTGGAAAAATAAATTAAAAATAAGATGCACTCTCTTTTTGAACATTTTTCTTTTGTGAATGTGTTCTTTTGTACCCTTCAAAATAATGTTGTCTATAGAAACTAATGGGGATTTGTTGGTCCTGTAGGTTTTGAGATTGAGCATCAAGTCTTTCTTATTTCTCAGAAAAAAAACAGTAAACTCTGTGCGCATTTTACTCTAGTCACCAGGACAGTTGAAAATCCAAGAGTAACAGGACTGCCCTGGCTTATTGGCTTGGCTAAATTCTGGATAAATTTTTTGCTCAAAATTGAAGAAAATTAGGTGGATTGTAATCTATAGACCAAAAAATATTTTGCATACCCCAAAAAGACCAAGTACTTAATGCTTCTGTGCAAACATTTGATATAAGAGCCAGTTTGTTTGCTTCTTGTTTGAAGACTCTAAGATCAACTTCTCTTGTGTTTGTTTTTGTAAAGTGTTTTACGGCGCTTGCAACTGCATAAGGTCATATGAGCGCACGGGACACACCTAATAATATTCAGTTGGTAGGAAATTTTGAATATTGCCCGGGTGGCGGCCGAAGCCTACTCTTATCGATTTTAGACCACCAAGGGATCTTTAACGTGCGCAACTTGCACACGGGCCCTCCGAA